TGCCAGATTAACAGGGTGTGTGAAGCTGGAATTTGACACAAGATTGGCATTTTTAAAAGATTTTAATCACCAAATTCTGAATAAAAGTTTAACAAATTTAGGACATAATTAGTAATAGAAAGTAATAGAAAGCTAGTTGTATACATTATTAATCAGGATCAAAATTAAGGCATGTCAAAGCTATCCAAAAACATACCACATTAAATGCACAAAAGGCGCACAGAAAGCATACTTAGTTAATCTTTGAGTAGCCAGTAAAGATTATGAAGGTGCTAATTAGAATAACAGTTATCTGTTCTGCAAAGAAAAACAAATATGGGCAAAATTAACGAGTATGAGAAATTTCAGCATTTTCAGCATTAAGATCTACCTAATGTGCAACAGTGCCCTGACATCTGTTTCATCTTTACAACACATGGCTACTTCACAAAATGCACAAAATAAAAAATTACCAGAAATTATTGAATTGCAAATGAATGAAATTGTTACAGCTCAATCAACAGTTTTCATGAGGATCTTTGTGGGACTGTGTGCCATGATACATACTGACACAGAATGAAACAGCAAGATTTTGAGACAGTAGATGTCCCCAACACAAAAACTTTTTTTTAAACAAAGGTAGTTTGTATTTCTGTGTATATTGCGAGTACAATGTTTTACTTATGTTTACATCAGACATCAAATCTACTCACTCTTTAGAATATGAAAACACTCAACTCTTTTCTTAAAAAACATATATAGATTGATAAAAATCTATTAGTATAACTACAAATCTATGCTCTGTGCTGTGTTGATAATCATACATGCAAATCAAAATCAAAGATGACAAAGATGACATAATTTTTTTAAAAGTTTGATTACAATTCCAAAATTTATTATGCCATTCAAAAATATTTTGGTGATCACACATATTTTTCCTTATTTGTTTTCCTTAAAAACCAAGCCAAATTCTTCTGGGATTAAATATTATATAAGCTATTAATAAAACCATAACAGATTAACTCACTGATACTATGGAAAAAAGGAACAAAGAAAAGCCTGACTTCTTGTTGGTTATCTGAATAACCTCAGATTTCTGCATTCATTATGTGTTGCTAGCCGAATGTAAATCACTGGATGCACTGGATGTCATGTTGTAGCCATCTAAAAAAAACAGAGCAGTATAGGTAATCTGTGGCAAAAAAAAAAAATACACAGTAGACACAGTACTACAACAGGATGTTGAAGTAAGAAGTAAAATAATTGTATGAATAAATAAAATTAAAAAAATAAATTTGTGTTAATGTGCAAACCATCCAATTGTTTTCTGTGTTGGACTGCCTAATTAAGGTACAAGCACACCTAACAACACACAGCTTTTCCTGCATCTTTATGGTAATTTTTTAATTGTTATTTACCTCTTCCACGTCTCCAGTTCCTTAAAAATCGAAGTCCACTCGACGATGAGTTTCCAGCACTTGTGCTCTAAAAAAACAATACAAAAAACAAATCATGCAATATTTGAAAAAAAAACAAAAAACAAAAACAAAAAACAAAAACAAAAAACAAGTTGGCTGAGACCCAAATTAAGGAAAGAAAAAAGGAACACGAAAACTGTTCTTACCCCTGTCCCACTTCTGGACCGTCGTGCATATGATGATATTGCTGACCGCACCTGATAAGTGAAATCTCAAGTGTTAGACTACAATGGAAGTTGCACAAGTTAGCTGTAAAATTTAATTAATTCATGATGCCCAGCCAAACACTAAAAGGAATCTTGTATTTTTGTAAGTCTATGGTGTTTAAGTTGCTTTTTTGTGTGCTTGTGTGGGATACGAACACATACATATAACTGTTATTTATTGAAGTGTGGGCCCACCTGCTCTTTGCTACTTTCACCATCAAGTCTGAATTAGTCATTTATATGGACTTACAGAGAAACCATGAAATGGCACTAAAAGGCAGAAGTTTGACTTGACAAGAGGATTTTAGTGTAGTATTATTACAATTCATATTCCTTTGTCAGTAAAGGTTTGTAGACATTAAGCACTTTGTTGGTTAAACCAAATTATATCATTTAACATTAATTTAAAGTAATTCAACAATAAGCACTTATTCATTAACCTGACTTAAAATTGAGCTGTACATACCTTACCATCCAGCAGTGTTCCAAACACCAAAATAAAGAAGCCCTTTTTTAAAAGACAGAGTAATGTCCGTTATCAAGGATTCAGTAATTAAAGATTCTGCTATTATGGTATAAAGAGGTAAAAAGTTTATTTGTACCTGTAGAGAATTGAAGAATGCAAATGCAATATGGATTCCTATGTCTGGCTCAGCCACCAGAAGTCCAGCTCCCAAACCCCAAGTTATTCCAAAAAATGGTGTAAGCACAGCCAAACTCTTGACAATAACCAGTAAAACGCTCCTTTCACCTGATTGTGCAGCAGTTGTTCCAACCCTTCTCTTTATAATTTTGTACAAAACCACAACCAGGATAATGAAATTTATCAGCACTATTGAAAGTGCAGGAATCACAAACGCCAGTAGAGCTTTGGACTCATCCCAGTTGAGCCAGCAGATTACATTTTTTATGATATACTTGTCGTCAGGTGCAGTTGCAGCTATAGTTACTGTTGCTATGATTAGAGGAGCTCCGTAGCCTAGAGAAAATCCAATGGCCAGCATAGATGCTTTAGACAAACCCCCACCAAAGACATTAGTTGTACGGTAGAGCAGCAACAGAGCTGAGGCAAACATCCAGAAGAACAGAGCTAGGTAGAACAAATGGTTAAAAAAGGTAGCTGCAGTGCATGCTGAGTGGTTTTTATGAACTGCATCTGAAATGGCTGCTCCAATTATAAACCAAATATCTGCAATCAGGAGGGACACAGCAATGTTAACTATGGAAACATGACGCAGGTAAGAGGTTTCATTCGTTCTTATTTTTCTCCATATGAGGCCTTCAATGATGAGACATATGACCAAGGAACCCATGGAAATGGCAACTCCAGTGTAGGTTATATAGTCCAAAATTGGGCATTTTGGACTGTTTGGTGACATCAGGATAGAGAATGAGGTCAGGTGGTTGCAGTTGCAGGTGACAGTTCCAGTTTCATTTATATTTACCACTTCACAGCCCTCATCGTCCCATCCTCCGAGATCATTAAAGAGACTGAAGTTCCAGAAGACACATTTTGGATCTCTCAGTGTATCATTTAAAATATCAAATGTCAAAGAGATATTATTGATTTGGCCACTGGACTGAACAAGTACAACCCTGCCACCGATGACCTTAATCGATGAATTGTCTATTTCTCTTGCAGGGAGTACATTATTCAGCGAGGCAAATGTTATCACTGTGATTAAGTTATTTCTACCCTCATTCTGTGGTATTTCTATCACCACTGAAGAATTAAAATCACCAATGATAGGGTTTGTGTATATAGTTCTGTTCAAGATGATAAAAGGCGTGTCAATACCAGAATTATTGAAATTGGTAAGGTTTTCTGTTATTCTTTCAAGAGACTGCAATAATGATGAACTAACATTGCCAGGGTTAGAGATGTTATACGAGATACTTTTATCATTGTTGTTCAGAAAGTTCCATGAGTCCTTTGCCTGATCTGTGGTGAGAACACCTGCAGTTCTCAGGATATCCTATAGTAAAAAAAAAGTATTAGATTGAATAAACAAATACAAAATTTAAAAAAAGCATGTATTATTTAGAATACTCAAACTTCAGTAAACTAGCATGTACCTTCATTGAGTTTTCATTGATTGAGATATTGAATAATACTATTCTGTTGGCCACATTTGTGAGGATTTGAACAACAGCATCAATATTTTTAGGTGAGTTAACCACTTGCTTAGAATTCTCATCAGTAACATTTCTGAGCTGTTGCAAAAATGCTGGCAGTGTAGTGGCAGTCAAGACCTGCAAGAGTTGAAGAGAAAAAGTATTTAGTTTCACAATTTAACTCAATGTTGAAGTTAGAATGACAAACTTGGGCTTCCTATTTACTAATTCATATCTCAAAGGTTTTTGTTTGTAGAAATCCTGACAGAATCTGGCTTACGTTTACTACAGTCTTTTAACCTTAATCTGCCTGCAGTTATAAACAGAACAGTGAATACCGTGTTTCATTTGTGCTTTCCATGTCTTCTGATCACAAATTGTAAATAGTGCTGTAGTGGCAAAACAAAGAAACACTACTTACTTACTTTGTGGTTATTTATTGAAAAAGTATTTTTTTGTGCATACTTTATAAACTTAAACTACCTGCTTACTTTGTGGTTATTTATTTGACAAGTTTTATTTTTATTAAATGGGTGACAAGTTTATTTTGTATTAACAGTTTGTCTGTCATCACAAATGGTATAAAACTGTAAAACTTGTATTGCACAAAGTTAAAGGGCTTGATAATCATTGACTCATTGCAGCTTACTTTAATTTCTGTTGTGCTGGTTTTTTTTGGTGCAGTAGTTATCCTTTTTTATCTTTTTTTTTTTTGAGGTTTGTACTATCAAGCAGAATTTTGTGTTATCCGGGTAACTTTGGGGTGAACCAGAGTTTTCTGTAGTGATGGGATTTCCGGCTCTTTTTAGAGAACCGGCTCTTTCGGCTCGGCTCACTAAAAAGAGCCGGCTCTTTTGGCTCCCAACCGTCTCTTCAGGTTGTTTTGTTGCTTTAATTAATTTATTATAAACAACAATATAAAATTATGCACAAAAGGAATTATTAATGTTAAAAAAATGTGGTTTTATTTATATATGTTTATATATAAAAATATACGGTGGGCCCTAGAGAGAAAGCACATACAAACTCCAAAGCACGTACAATTTAGGGGCATCTATTTGTACTTGTGGACAATATAAATTGGTTACTTTAAATTAGGGAATATTACATTTCCTACATTTTGTATTTGTATTTTACTTATTCTCAGACTATTAAACAACATCAAGGTTCCAGCTGAAAGAATAATAACTAAAACTGCGTTATGCAAATTTAAACATTTATTTAACTCTTTTTTTTCACCATTGGCACAGCACATGCCCCAGCTCTGATGCTTCCGGAAGGAAGAGAAGACAAGCTTTATGGTGATATTTTAAGTATCATGTTAGCATAACGCATTCAGAAGGTACTGTTGTCTGAACACAGACAGAAAAATCAGCTTCTACTAGATACTAGTTAACATGTGCAGTTCACATCACTGTAATGCTTTAACCATTTTGGGCTAGAGAGAGAATTCAAATGTTCCTTGAAAGAGGAGAATGATATCTCTAATTTTACAGCTGAAACTTAGTTAACTTAGTAGTTGTGATGTTTGATGTTAGGACAATTGAATCCAAATAATGGAAAGAATCCCTGTATATATTTAACTTACATAGAGCCCCGGAACTTGAAACTAACACTAGAAAACTAAAGTCAACTAAAACTCAAGTATGTTCACCACTTAATCCTAAGACCATGATCGTTTTGCTGTCTAACAGGATACCATCCATTTGAAAACTGGTTGAAGGAGCTGTAATAATTTGAGAGGTGGATTCATCTTCCATTATAGCCCAGAATAGAATCAACAGGATTGTGTTGAGAACCATTTATATTTTACATTACATTACATGGTCATTTCCATCATCAGCCAAATTGAAATGTATAGGAGTAGAAAAAACTAGTCATTTAAGAGCCTATCTTACCATTTGACATAATCTAGTTTTGAAATTTATATTCACAGTTGTCAAGTAAAACACATAGCAAATTAACTTTAATTACAAGAGTAACTTAAAGAGAGGTTTGTGTAATATTTTTGTGGCTTCACTTAGGTGAACTTTCTAAAGAGTCCAATTACACAAACTCTTTAAAATATGTAATACTGTGATTTATCTCTAAGGTACATTTTCCACAATACAAAGAACAAAAAAGAACATGGCAGTTTATATAAGTCACCTTAGACTGGTCAAGCAGCTCCTTAATGGGTTGCAGTAGGCAGGTGTCTTGTATTTCAATATATATGAGTTCATTTCTTGTTTTGGTGCACAATGCACTCTTTTCTCCTTCCTCATTGTTTGCACAGGGTATTCTGGCTCTGTAACCATTAACTGCCTCTCCAAATGTTTCATTATAACATGTTTCAGAATCTAATAAAACAAAAACAAAAAAAAGACCTTGTTAAATGTAGATAATTTTTAACCTGAATTTAATAAATTGCTTTGTAATGTGTTAATACTCACTGGTTTGGTAAAATATGAGTGTTATTGTTTCTTTGAATTCAGGATAGGTACTTGATTGACAGGTAATTGTATCCTGCTCTTTGCCTGCACAGCTATCAGTTTTATATTGATAGGAAATGCTTTTTTTACCTTTGGATAAATCACAGAAACAACAAAGTCAATATAAATAGCAATACAACCTAAACATTCAGATCTGATGTAATATTAATCAGACTAGTTTTGAAAAAGTTTTGTCTCATATTAGTAAATAACGTAAGTATTGCAAGATGAGCAGAGAAATTATCTCCCAATAGCTGATTTGCATTTTGTTGATTCTTTGTTTCAGATTTACCGCTAATATCCGTGTTTGTGAAACTAATATTGTAGTCATTGTTGACAGTGCAGTTTAGTGTCACAGTTTCACCACTACACTCCAAAAACCTTTGAATTGGGTCCACTCTGATTAAGGGTTTCTCTTTGAGTGTGAAGGTTCCATTGGATCGTTGTCGATAAAATGATTTATCCTTTTGCCGTATGAGCCTGCATTCATAATTTCCTGGAATGAAAGTAAATTATTATATACATAAATGAAATAGTGTTGCCAAACAATAATAATAATAATATATGGGATGACAGTGTCACTTATTTCTGTATTATACAGTTGTAATATGGCTGGTTCTCCTATGCAGATTCAGTGTTTCATTTTACATCCCACAAAAAAAGCAGTAATGTAGCTGATAATGAGTTTTTGCTCCATTTTGTTTCAAGAATACCATTCTCTGTCTAGCAACATTTTATTTTACTGTTATATTATTAAGAGCTCAGCAACCACTTATTTCTAAATTTAAATAGGATTTCTAATACAAATTAGTTGACACCTGTGTTCACACAAGTACACATTTACACGGGCACTTGTAATTTGGTATTTCCTTCTCTTGAGAAAGGCTTGTGCAACAGCAATGGTTTAACTATTTAAATCAAATGATTTCAGTCCTTCTGCACTAATATTGATTGCTCCATTGCAGTAATAACGTTTTCCTTAACCCTCTGGGGTTGCAGCGACCCAGCGACTCCATTTCAACTTGGGTCAGAAGTGCGGACTTCAAACTATATACCAGATAAATTGTGTCGATAGGCCACGTAAAAGAGTTATGATAAAAGACACATGTGATGTTTTTTTCTGAACCAAACAAGTTTTACCCTTAAGCCAATCAGAATGTTGTAATTGCACTTGCTGAATCACTAAAAATGCTGAGACTGCACTCGCATTTTAAATGTATATGATTTGTGAATTTCCCCAAGGAATGCAGTTGTTTGCTTCTTACCACTGTCAGCACGAATGAACTGTGACACAGATAAGACTGAGTGAGTGTCGTTATCTGAAATGTTGTGTACTCCATTTGCAACTATGAGATTGCCATCACGTCTCCACTCTGATGTCCAGTTAGTACCAAAGAGATCAAATGGTGGATGGCCACATGTTACAATGACTTTATCCTCCCAAAATCCATTACCTTCAATTTTAAAATCCAGAGAACGTGGCTCTTTAAAAATGAACATAAATATAAAAAATTATCAAACAATCATCTGATCTCATGTGTTTTTTGATATGACATTAAACAAATATGTAAAATTGAATAAAATCACAAATGTAGACAAGTGCTTACCATCTGATATCATAGAGTAGATTTTTGCTAGCTGGTCAAAAATTCCATTTTTTAGTGTTTGGATGACTGGAGGAGCAGCAGTGACACTGTATTCAGCGATGGTGCTCCCACTCCTATAATATGGAAAAGGATTGGAAATGCTAACATTTCTGGCATGTAATGTACATTTTCACTCTCACACCTACAGATAAGTCAATGATAGTTGAGTCACAGTTTTATATTTTCAGTCTACTAGCACTTGGAATCCAATTCCCTAAATAGCTTTGCACTATACTTAACTTAAAAAAGAATTCTGCAAAAACCTCACATTTTTCTTCAATTTACAAGTTAGTAGTTTACCATTTGGTAAAATCAAGTTATTATTATTATTATTATTATTATTATTATTATTATTATTATTATTATTATTATTATTATTAATAATAATAATAATAATAACAACAATAATAATAATACATTTTATTTATAGGTGCCTTTAAGACCCCCAAGGTCACCTTACAATAGTACAACAATACAATATAATAAAATATAGCAAAACAAAATTTAAACATAAGGTAAAAAAAAACAAGCATGAAAGTATATAAAAAAGTATAAAAGGGTATGGAGTTCTGAATAGATGGGTTTTGAGATGTGTTTTAAAAGTACAGAGAGAGTTTGTAGTTCGAAGAGCTGGTGGAAGTGCATCTAAAGTCTTGGGGCAGAACAACTAAAAGTCCTGTTAGAGAATTGTGCATCAATATGGTTGTCATTGTGCCAGATGATTAGATCTTTAGCAAGGTGATTAGATCTTTAGCAAGAATGTTCAGCTCTGTTTTCTAAACACTGGTTCGTTAAAATGTTACGCCATATATGGGGTGACTGAGGATATTGGTGACACCACATGCTCACACATCGCAGACACACACGTAACATGTTCACAGGTGGGTGTCTTATCTGTCGCATGATTAATGAGATGTTTGTGTAAATACTGATGTTAATAAAAGGACTGTGAGAGGGGTCCCAGAGTTTGGAGTTGGCTGAGATCAGATGAAGAGCTCAGGCTCCCCTTGCAGCAAGTAAAAGACAAAAAGCACTGTGGTCGTACACAAATGATTGGTCTCTGAGCCAGCGGAGTTTAAGTGTTAGACCCAACAGGTCCCATTGTAGTCAGGCATACATATGGAGAAGATCAGATAAAAATGGAGGAGCGAGGTTATGAAGCTCTTTGAAAGTAAGAAGCAGGATCTTGAAATTGACACAGAGGTGAACTGGAAGGAAATGGAGCTGTTTAAGGAAGGAAAGGAAATGTATCGTTACTTTGCTTTTATCGTTCAAGTTGAATATGTAGACCTTTTTTCCTTTGGAAAAAATAAACCTCAACCATGCACAATGAAAAATGTCTGAACCTTTTTGTGTGCTCTACAGACAGAAACATTGACATACCAGGTCGCCAAAAACCCAGTTTCAAAAATACATGTAGAGCTGAAAGGTGTGGTTTGTTGTGTTAACTAATTATTTTGGAAAGTAACAATCACAGTGATATAGTGTTGATTAAAATGTGTTCAGAGATTTCATCTCATAAGTCACGGCACACTACCCTTTCCACAGTTAGCTGCCTGATTGCCTTTGTAGTGTGGCAGTGCACTACTGTGAATGAGTGAAAGTGTGAATGTTGAATGTTTTTGTTGAAATATCCAGGCAAGTATATACATGTAAAATGAAAAGATATACGTGTTCAAATAGCGTCAATTAACACACAACTTCAGGTTTTTTCATTTCTATGTGATTATTCTTATAACTAAACAATGAGAACAAGTACTCTGATGTCCTGTAATCATTATGAAGCTATAATTTGAAATACAATAACACATTAAGTTTTTGAACAAAGTATTGGTATTGGTTGAAAAGGAGACTCTGGGTTGCTGCATCTTGTTGCTGTTTCAT